TGTGTGTGTGTGTGTGTGTGTGTGTGTGTGTGTGTGTGTGTGTGTAAACCTCTTGTAACTTTTGAACAACTTGATGAGTGTAACATCGGGATGAGCTTATATCTTTATAAATGTCCATAGTTCACAAGATACGGGGTCATTTTTAAGTATGTATCTAGAGATAGAGTATTTTCGAATGCAGCCTAAATACTTATCATCATAAATTGACTATTGGTGAGAATAATATAGAACCATGAAAAGGCACAATTCCAAGTCAAGATTTTTCCAACGATACCAAATTTAATTATAAAAACCCATTTTATCATATAAATACACTGGGCACAAAATTTTTCTTATTCTCTCAATAATATAGATAATTTGTATAAAAACAAAGTAAAATCAAATTAAACTAGGAAATTAATATAGAAAATGAGAATTTAAAATATAGAATTTTAATATCGTCGATTCAAATAATAACTCAGCATAATAATTCTGTGAATTGCACTCACTTTATCCTTACCATAATCTTTAATGTATTAAATTTAAATTTGTTATTTATTAGACGTCATTTTAATTATCAAGATTCAATAAGTAATTGATTTGTTGTAAAAATTAAAAAAATGTCAGCTAATTTTAGTATTATACATTTTTCAATTTTTTATGGCCAAAAATACGGTGCCCACCTTCCAAACAATTAAAAAAATAAATTTGATATAAAACATACCTGAGGAACATAATCTTTGTTGAAGGTTTGCTCCAGCAATTCCCTTAACACATCAATCTGGCCAATAAATTTTTCTCCTAGCAAATTATGTGCTATTTCATGAACTTCATTCACTGTTTTATGACAAAAGTTATTATACACAGCTAAAACACTGGATTTATCATCAGCTTGATTAACATGAGCTATCATCCTTGCTAAAAGCATAATTGTAGCTGTCTCAGGTGGGTAATGCATTTGCTTCCACGTTTCCTTTAATTTTTCCAACGGATGACCTTCCTTATTTCCGCGCGTTTGGCTACATAGAATTCGGTGATACTTACTAAACGCTTCTTTTAAACATTCATTGCTACAAAATTTAATACCACACTCTGGACATTCAGCGAACAATTCTTTTTTTATTTCGCAATATTCTGGATAAGGTAAAACTAGATTTTTTTTTCCAGTTAAACGACGTACATTTTCTTCGGCATTTTCTAATGGATACATACAATTGTCACATGCCAGATAACCATAATCAGCGTTCCAGGAAAACTGACAACAAACTACTGGTTTTTCTTCAAAAATTATCTCGTCTTCTTTAAAAGCGCGTAACGCAAATATTCCTTTACCCTAAAAAGTAAAATTATTAGTCTGGTTAATTTTTGTCTATTTTATTTAATTTTTTATTTATTATAAAATGATTGAATCAATTACCTTCTCCTCATTAATAACACGAACTTGAAAATTTTGCTCGTCCATAATTAAAAATTATAATTTACTTTGACTTTTATTTTATAGCATAAATTAACAAACAAATAAACTTTGTTTTTTTAAATTATTAATTATTGCAACGTGCTACTGAAATTGCATTGGTTGTAAAAATACAAGAATGTATAAACAGAAACTAAAAAAAAAACAAAATAAGCTTTAAAGAATTTCATAGCAAGGTCATCTATTGGTTGCGTTCAATATCATAGAAAATTTTATTGTACATTACCATCATATGGTTGAATAAAATTATATTATTTAAATTTAAAAATTTTATATTTATAGATTTTTTAGCGAAATAAAAATTTGCAGAAATAAAAAGAATTGTTTGTAAATTTTAGGGGAAAAAAAAAACACTGAAAAGATTTTAATTTTTGTAGATTAACATTTCTTTAAAAGTTTTGGATTATCACTATTTGATATGACACAATATAATTTTTTAATGGAAATTAAATAAGCTGACATACTTGAAAATTTTTATAATTTTTTTTTTATTAAAAAAAATTAAAAGAAATAATTTAACACGGAGAAAATTTGAAAAATTATAAGTGCAATTTAAAAAAAATTTTTTTTTACTTATAATTTTTATTGTTTACTTACAGCAAACTTTTTATTGATCATTTTTTTGAAATTGCAAGTAATTACTAAAAAATTAACTTATAAAGAAAAAATATTAGTTTGATATACATAATTATGTAAGTTTAAGAATTGAGAAATATAGTTATTCTCTCCTCTATTAAAACGCATGACAATTATTTTTAAAAAATTTAATTTATCATCTTTCAGGGGTTCTAAAGATTAAATTTATAAATAAATTTTTCTTGGTGTAATTTATTTATTAAAAAAATTCTAAAATTTATCAGATGTCCCTCAAAATCAATATTATAAAAATTAACAGATGTTAGTTAAATTTCTAGTTGTGGAATTTTTTTATTAAAATTTTTTCATCAATAATTTAGTTTTCATAAAAATCCATGAAATTGACAGGTGTCTGTTAATTTCAGTACCCCAAGCGGCACAAAAAATTTTTTGATTATATTTTGTTGAATTTAAGTTGACAATTATTAATTTTTGACTTCTTGTTAAATAAGATTTACCAAAAAGTCAACAGTTTTTTATATAACGCTTGGAATCATGATAAATTATTAAAAAACTATGTGATTTTTTAAAATAATTTTCTTGAATCAATTTATATTTTAAGTAAAATTATAAAAATCATAGTGTGTCTTAATTTCAATATAATCATGTTTGACTCATTAATTAAAAGGGAAATAACAATTTTTTTAACAGTAAAATTAATATTCCAAGTAATTTACGTCCGCCATTTTTATTCTTATTGCGAACAAGCTTAAGGCGGACACTTAATGCTGCGATTGGCGTTTGGTGTATTGATCGTCCAATAGCGTGTGGATGAATTTTGCTAAAATCCGCTATGAAAATTATCCTTTAACTACAGCCAGAAGTATTTTGCTACAGTGCATTTTACGACTTCCGTAAAGAAAAAGAACCAATAACGTATTTGTCGCTGTTTATCACTTTCAGACCAGACTCAGCACTTAAAGAGAGTTTACCACTAAAGAGAGACATTGTCACGTTAATCCAACTTTTGTGTGCTGTTAAATCTAGTTATAAAAATTATAGATACTGATTGACTAATTAAAAAGTATATAATTACCTACTTGAGTGATTTACTTTGAATTTGTTGTAAAATGAATGGTACAATTACAATGGTAAGTGGATTGAAAAAATTACATTATTCTGCCGCCATTTATATATGTATAAGTTTATACTTTGGTGTGTATGTGTAAATTTCGTATAAATATTGATTTTATTAGTGGTATTGATATTGATGAAAATTGAAACAGAAAAAAATATTAGTGAATTAATTATTTAATAAAAATATAATTATTTTTTTAAAGAATAAATTATTAAGAAAATTAAATTTTTTTAGGCTTCATCAAACCAAAACATTTCGGAACCACCAATGAAGAAAGCTCGTATAGAAGGTATTTTGCCATCATAATAATTAACTACTGATCTAAGATATTAAGCTAAATAAATAGAGTGATTGTATATTACGCATTGCAGTGCGTAATAAAAAGCTTTTTTTTTATATACATAAATGTAAACCATAATTTAATTAGGGAGCAAACGAGGAATTTGTTTTAAAAAGTGAAAAAAAAAATTATACATAAAAAAAATGTATAAGTTAGTGAAAAATCAAATTATATTAGGTTATAATTTATTTGGTTATAAAAGGTATACAAAAACAAAAAAAAAAAGGATTTAAGATGGCCGTTAATAAAACTAATGTATGGTTATCCTTCTGTTCTGAGATGTTACAGCAGGGAGACAGTACAGAATCTGTGGCCTTCATCTGAGCTGTGATCATGAGCGTGCGCCAAACGAATGAAACAGAAACGCTACAATTCGAACTGAAATGAATATGAGTTTATAACAAACTCCTACTGACACAGCAGTCTTTATGTCGAGTACCAAAAATTCGCTCGATTTATTTATTTTAGATAGGTCAGCATTTAGGGTAGTCTAAATTCTACAGATAAACTTCTGATTATAAATTTCTTCTCAGCATAAATATTTATGTTGAGTAAAATTTTGTAAATTTTGATTACACGGAAAAAAGTAAATTGTAATAAATAATAGTCGATTCATAATAAGTAATGATCAACTGGAAAAAATTGCCATTTCAAACAGTAAAATCGTGATTTTAATAATCACTTTATAATATTTATCATTTAAATGCTACAATTTATTATTTACATGAAAGAAAATACTATTTCAAACAGTATTATTCGCTATGTAATAGTCAAAAATGTTAAAGTATAATAATTAAGAATTTAGACTTTGATATTTATTATTTCGTAATCAAACTATAATTATTGATTTGTTTGAACTGGTAAAATATATATTTTAATTTAAAAGTAGAATTTTTACGGTTTCAAATGCTGAATTCTCCGAGTGTGAGACCTTCCCCTTCTTCTCATAGTATAAATTATATGGATGATTCTCTGTAAAGACGTCTTAAATCTGTACAAAATTGTCCGACCAAATTATTTTTGATTTTATTAGAAAAAAAATTAACAAGGGCTACAAAACTATCAGCTTAATCATAATAAATAAACAGTCGATTTAATTTTTGCTTTTTCGATATTTGTGTATCTTTTACTATATAACATGACAGGGGACTTTTTTTTTTTTTATCAAATTAAGAAAAATCAAGCAAACTATTTCAATGCATTCAACTTTTCAAGTTCTCAATGAATGTTTACATTAATTAGAATAATATTAAGACTTATGGATCTAATTTTATAAATAAAAATAGTTGCCAGGGGACTGAGTTTTGAAGTGGCCCAGACATATATGTCCAGCACAAACAGTGCTTTAACACTAAAGAAAATGGCGATAAAGCGCTAACAGCCCTATGGTTATTAACTCAAGGTTAGTTAGGTCCTTATAAACCTTACAAAAGGTAAAATAACACGCTGGATTTTTTTTTTGGCTTTGAACTTCTGACAGGGGACTGTTCTTAAAATGCCTGGGAGAAACTTTGGTTTAATGAATTTAATGAAACAAATTAATTTTCGGTACTTTTTATTGAAGAAGATTGTTAGTTAACTAATTAAGTTTATAAACATTATGACCCAAATTATATATTATGGACGAATAATTTAAAATTTAATTTTAAAGTTTTAATTTTGGGAATGGGACAGCCCAGGGGACTGTTATTTCGGTGGTTTACGAATTTATACCAAAAAAACTAAAATTTATTTCATTTTTGTTTTCAATGCTCCAAATAGAAATGTTTTTTTACATTCGTAATAAATTTGTTTTAGTAACAAAATAAAAATTTTTCTAATAAAAAAATGCCTGGGACAGCAAAAAACATCCTTACAAAGAATCACCCGTATATTGAAACGGCAATATTTACTGTTTGAAACTGTAATTTTTTAAGATGACAAAGTCGTTTATAGTGACCGCTAGTAATCACTCATTTTCGATATTAAATTATAAATTGCGGCTTATACACTTTTTACATTAACTTTTGTAATATTTATATTTTTGCCACCCGGTGTCCACTGTACTGTTTAAAACTATAAAAATTAACCGGAATCCGAGTGAATTTTACAGTTTACTTTTTTCCGTGTACAGATTTTTTTTTTAAATTTTATTTATTAATTTTAGTTTTTTTTTTTTTTTATTTATTTATAAAATTAGAAATTTATAATCAGTAGTATCTTTTGCGAAAAAAATAAAATAATGTATTATATAAAATGTTTAATTTTAAAATAAATAAAACAGGTAAGTTTTGATCAAAGAAATTGCATAATCTGAAGTACAAAAATAAAAATAAGGGATTAGCTTCGTTGATTAGGGTTTAATAAAGGCAAAAAATAATAATTTGGCGCAGAAAGTGCACTGAGCGTATCCTCCTTTGCTTTGTGCTTACAGATTTCTGAGTTGCAACAAGTCTTGGATTATTTGTGTACATCAAATCATTGCTCAACCCCCAATGAACGGTTAGGCGTTGAAAATAAAAGACTTCAACTTAAAGACTTTAATTATATCCATTTAAAATAATTAGAGGCTAATTGAACAGATATCAATCAAAAATACGTTTTGAGCGTGTGTCTGATTTCTGTTCCAGAGACTAATCATCGTGAATTATCGTGAAAATTGCATTGTTACCAATCAAGCTTTGTGTGATGTCAATAATGAAAATTTTATCAAGAATAATTAAATTAACAATTAAATAATTAAATTACGGCTTATTATCATCGACTGTCATTAAGTTTAATTCTATTCATTTGAATAAATTTTCATTCTAAAAGTTTGTCTTTTACTTCGTATCTGACATGGACTTATAGAAACATAAAACATTATTTTAAAGAAATAATATTTTTATTTGTAATTCATAATTTTCTTTTGATTATTTTAATATCTTTAAACTTTCAGTACTGAGGAGTGATCCTGTCTATTGGGAGCTGCTGCATGGCGATGTTACTTAATTACACGTCCTTTTTTTTTTATTTCAATTTATTTTTTTGATTTCAAAGTAAAGAAAATTTCTCATTCTAAATAGAAAAAAAAATTTTTTTTAATTCGAGATAAATCAATACTCATTAATTTTTTGTTTTATAATTTAATTTTGTTCAATTGTAATTCATCAAAGTTAATTTAGAGTTTCTTTTTGAAAAATTATTTCATTCATTTTTAAATTACTATCAAACTATTTTAGATAATCTTTACCATTATTGCAAACAGAAAAATTTCGTATTTTTAAATATTTTAAATTATCAAAATGATATTTTTTTAAGTTATGGTAAAGGTCTAAAATACCTAGATAAGATATATTACAATCAGTGCCATCTAATTTGATATTTTTTCGTAGGGAATGCATCGGACTTCTTGCCAGGACCGATTTATGACCTTAATCAAACGGGGCAGGTGGTTGGTGGTGAGTAATATTTTTAAATCAACAAATATTTAATTTAAAAATTATTTTCAAAAATTAATTTTATTTTTTATAATTAAAAATTGAATGAAATTAACTATGTAAATTTTTACGCTTTTACGTGATGACATTAATAGAAAAAAGTGAATTTTATTGTTGAGACGCTTCAATTCAAGCAATGTTGGTAGCTGTTTCCAAAAAATCTATGAGCTTTTAGCTGATAAGATCTGATTAAATATATAAATATTTTAAATTTATTTAAAATTTTTTATACATGTCAACTAATAGTATAAAATTTTCAGGTCCTGGAGCAAAATATCTTTCTCTTCCGGGAATTCTTGGTGCTGGTTTACCAAAAATATCTTCGGAACAACAGGATGCTATCAATAGAGCCAAAAAATATGCTATGGAACAAAGCATTAAGATGGTCTTAATGAAACAGACTTTAGCACATCAACAACAGGTATTTCATAAATATAATATGAACCTTTTAATTAAAATATCTTTTTGAATTTTTGTTCGATTTATTGTCAACTTAGGGAAACTTTAATTTTATTAAATTTTTTGTACGTCGCACATAAACATAATTTATTCTATTTAGTTACTATTGATCACATGGCTCTTACTCGATTAAACAAAAATTATGTAATTGTCAAATTTTTAATTTTTTAGATATGTAATCGATTTGTTACATTAAAATTTTACAAATCAATCTAAATTTTATGAAATTAAATCAACGTTATCCAAGACTTGTTAATTTTTTCATATATATTCTTAACTAAAATAGTTATTAATTTAACTCCAATAAAAATTCAAAGAGATATTGTTTAGTGTCTGAGTGGATTATAAATAAGTAATCTATCATTTCATATATTTAAAACTTCTGATCAAAATAATTATTTTTTAAATCTAATAAATGAAGGCGATGATTTTCAGAAAATGTGTTCATAAAATCGGCCTTGAAGATGTTTTCACTAAAAATTAGATTTTTTTAGATCTTGAAAAATTAAAAATAGATGTGAAACACGAGTAAAATTCTGGGTTGATTTAAAAGGAAATCCTTTCGCTCCAGTTGAGTCAAAACAATTGTAGTCGTCAATAAACGATAAATTAAATTAAAAAACCCATAAAAATTCCTAAAATTAAATAATAAATAGTATGAGGCATTAATCGTTGAAATTTTGAAAAAAAAAAAAAAAAAAATAGTTAAATACAAAAATTAATTTGACTCTTTCAAAACAGCTGCAAGTAATCTGTCCGTGATTTGGCAACGCTGTACTTCGATTGTTTACATTTTCATTTGCACAATATAACCTTAACCACGTTTAAGTTTTTGCAGTCAGAGTAAATAAATAAATTAGTTTGAATTTATTGAATGGTCTGAAGCTCCCGCGATACGCAACGTTGCCAAATGTTTTAACTCCATTTTAACGTAGGTTACTTGAGAATTTTTTGTGATTTTAAAATATTAATTTCTCAATAAATATCTCGGTAACTGATATATTTTATTACAAAAAAAGAAACCTGAATATTTCGAAAATCTAATTTTTAGGTTTTTTTTACTTCATCTAATCCATGACTGATAATATAATTCGAGAAATACTGCAAACGCCTGACTTTCTCGTAAGACTGAGTTTTTTTTTACTTCATCTAATCTATGACTGATAGTATAATTCGAGAAATACTGCAAACGTCTGACTTTCTCGTAAGACTCTGAACAAATACTAACATTTAAAAATTTTATTTTTTAAAAAATTTGTCCGATAAAGTATAATTTAAACCTCACTATTAGATAAATAAGGACCTTAACTATTAGAAAAAAATTGAATTTACTCATATTCTAATATTTTATATTTTACATTGGCGGCGAAAGGACCTCCTTAATAATAGAATTTAGTTCAACCTAATAAATAATTCAATTTTTTAATAGAAAAAAATTATTTACAATTTTTAAATAAAAATTTATCCATAAATTTATTCAAGTATAGCTTTTCTAATTGTGAAAAATTCAGGTAATTATTTACAAGTGGGTTCAACCCATGCTGGCCCATGTTATTTTTTTTTTTTTCATGTACTTTAAAAAAAATATATATATCAAAAACATCAAAAAAAGATAAAATAGAAATTTTATCTAAAAACATGAAAGCAAATTTTGTTACCAACTTTTAAAGGCAAAAAAGCTATCGAAGTTTTTATTTTTTCTTATCACGACATTTTTTATCATAAATGCGCCATAAAAACTAGCAGAATCAAAAAAAAATAATAATTTTTCACCTAGTTATGGCCTAAAATGGGATTGACCCCACTTGTAAATAATAACCAATATTAAGTTTAATAAAAAATAAAAAGAAGCTATATTGTAAAAATATCAACTGAGTAAACAGAACTCTATATATGAAGTGATAGATTGCAATTAATTTTGTCTTATATAAATAGTCCCGTCACATTCTCATTAAAGTATTATAATTATTGAAAAGAAAAAAAAAAAAAGTTTTTTTACTGCTAATTAGAAGATGCTCGGCTGACAAAATTATTAAATTAAAAAATAAATCTGATTGGTTGATTTTTTCTTCCTACAGAAGAATAAGTTGGTTCTGCGGCAACAAGTTTTATTACTAATGTGCAGGTTAGTGTGAAAGACATGTATATAATATAAATGCGAAGAAAAAATAATTTCTAATTTTTGTCTGTACTCAAATTAACACAATATGTTTAAAAAAAATATTTGTTCACCGGCGGGAGCTGAGCTGTATCGAGATTTAATTTTATTATTGACAAATAGTACTTTAAGGAAAAATACATGAGATGTGAACGAGACAAACCTGTTTGAAAAAAAAAAAAAAAAAATACCAATTGACGTCATTTAAATGATCAAAATAAAAATTTAATTGACTGTTCATGAATTTCAATCTCTATACAATATACAAGTGAATTAATTGCACTTGAAAGCTTTGGTCATTCGATAAACTTCAATTGGGATTTTTAAACGAGGTAGTTTTATAAGTGTAAGATGAAATTTTTTAAAAATCGGGAGGGAAATCAATAGAAGGCCTGTGGTCCTTTGTGTTACAGCAAATGGCTAGTCAACGGAATCAAGTGCAGAGACAGCAGGCTCTCGCCCTCATGTGCAGGTTTGTTTGTTCTTGGCTTCAAGCTCCTTGAAATTTAAATATTATCTTCAGATCTTCATCTATGCTTCAAAACTCAGTTTTACTGTTAATTTTTGTGTTTTTAGATTTTTTTTTCTTTAAATTTAAAATTACTTATACATAATAAAATAACAAATTTCGTATTAAAGAATACAATTTTTATTCTTCGAAACGACAAATTTTAGTAGGGTCAAGGCTCCAAATATTGAGCAGTTCAGATATAATGAGCATAAATATTTCATGTGTCAATTTATTGCAAAAGTTTATGAGCTAAATCTACTGTTATGCTTTTTCTATACTTTTAACTTACAATAATAGCTTTGTTTATAAAATATATAATACTAAACATTGAATTTTAATAATCAACATTTGCTCCGAATATTGACCATCATGCATCAAATATTGACCGCCTATGTTCCAAATACTGACCAGTAGTATTATGTTTACTAGAATTATAAATTTCATTTTTAATCTATAATAATTTCGACATTAGTAGGTAATCTATTCACTGACATGTTCATAATTTCAGTATTGTTGTTAGTTGTTCTGTTTTCTGATACAATATTATTTTCAGTACTCTTATTGAAATCAATGGCCGAAGCTATACTCATATTAGGTACATTGAATAATTTAAAAAACCAATTGTTAACCTGAGTATTATTTCAATTATTAACATGCTTTTTCTAACAAAAATGAATGATAATTAATCTTTGATATTGAATTGTTTTGACAAATACTTATTCATTGATTAGGAAGTATTTAATTTTATATAAATTGATCACAAATGTACTTACTAAACTCGGCTGATTTTCACAACTTTCTGACATTTGTACACAAATCCATTTTTTTTTACTATAACAACTGCATACATACATGTGGATGCCCCAATTTTTATTTCAAGTATAATTAAAAATTACCAATTACGTGCCAAGTACAAAATTAAATTACTAGATTTGCTAAAATCAAATTGTTATTCTGCCTGGTCAATATTTGGAGTCTGATTAATATTTGGTTCCTTTACCCTAGAAAATGTATGAATTAAGCTCGGAGCGATAACTTTTTTTTTTGTCATGAAGAATGGCAGTTTAAGTATTATAAGTTATATCAATTCTAATAAATAAATTATGCAGGGTTTACGTGGGGAGTATAAGCTTTGAGCTGAAAGAAGACACAATTCGTCAAGCGTTCTTGCCATTTGGACCAATAAAGTCAATCAACATGTCATGGGACCCAGTTACTCAGAAGCACAAAGGTTTTGCATTTGTGGAGTACGAGATACCAGAAGCCGCCCAATTGGCGCTTGAACAAATGAATGGTGTAATGATCGGTGGTCGCAACATCAAGGTAGCTGGACGTACCCATGTATCCAATTCCTCGCCTTCCCGTGATCCTTTATCATCGCCGGAGGTCGGCAAAACTTTTATTCCTCATTTAACTTAATCTTAAACCTCCACCCTTTTTCACATACATTATTTCCAATATTCCAAAACAAATTAATAAATTAAGGTAGTTGTCATGGTACAATATTGTCAAAAAATTGCAGATTATATGCGCCGCAAAATTATATGAGCTTGTAGCTAAGTAATCCATTATTTTTATTAATAATTAGACGGTCAAAAAATTTTTTTTAATTTTACAACAAATACGTTATAAGACTGTCAGTTTTTTAAAAGTTTCTGACAGTTTTTTTTTATAACTAAGAAATTGGTACAGAACTGCAGAGAGCGTATACAATCAATGTTAAATATCCAATTTTTAATTGAATTCATCTCGGGTTATAGGTGGTCAATCGACTTCAAATTTTTAGGGTAATTGTATCATCATGTCCTTAATAAGATTACACAGAAAGAAAAATTTCTTGACTGGAGAACAAAATTCTTGGCTCAAGAAAATTTTCAGGTGCCTGAAGGAAGACCGGAGTTGTGTTAGCCGAAGTAAAAATTTTTTTTTAAATTCCATTCTTGGTGGAAGTAATTTTTTTTTAATTCAAATTATCTTAAATACTTGATACAATCAATTTTTATATTTGATCAAGATTTTTAGATACTTTAGGGAAGCAGTGTCACCTACTTCAGTTGAGAAAAAAATTTTCTCACCTTGAGAAAATTTTTCTCTTGAATATTTAATACCCATTTTATAGTATTTTATAGTATTTTCTTGTTGGAATAAGTGAAATTTCTTGTATCAAAAAAAAATTTTTTTTTCGCTCAAGAAAATAATTAGGAAGAAAAATATTTTCTTGGCTCAAGTCAACCTTTTTTTCTGTGTAAAAAAATTTAGAATTTTCTGACGCTATGCCTTAACCACGACAACTACCTTAAAAACTGTAATTAATGATTCGATTTTTAATAAATAATTTTCACTAAATTTTCTTTCAAAGGTTGTGGGAAGACCGTCAAATATGCCTCAAGCTCAGTCAGTTATCGATGAAATCACGGAAGAAAGCAAACATTACAATCGCATTTATATTGCATCAATTCATCAGGACTTAACAGAAGATGACATTAAATCTGTATTTGAAGCTTTTGGCCCGATAACTTACTGCAAATTAGCTCAAGGAAGTTCACCGCACCGTCACAAGGGCTACGGTTTTATTGAGTATGAAACAATGCAGTCTGCGCTTGAAGCTATTGCTTCAATGAATTTATTTGATCTTGGAGGACAATATTTAAGAGTAGGAAGAGCTATTACACCTCCCAATGCTCTGATGGGACCTCCAAGTGGTACAAGTATGATGCCTACTGCTGCAGCTGTTGCTGCCGCTGCTGCTACTGCTAAAATTCAAGCCATGGATGCGGTTGCTAGCAATGCTGTCGCTCTTGGACTCACTAAATTAGGAGCTTCTGGATCACCTATTTTGAATTCTGGTAAAGCATTGATTTTTCGTTTTGTCTAAACTATTATCATAGAAAAAAAAGATTTTATTGATGTAAAAATTTTTTCAGTTTTAATTCCATTGAAGCAGTATTCTATTATGAAACTTTAAAAAAATCGAATTTATTTTTTACATTTCTCAAAAGTAAATATTCAAAAATATTCTTTCGAAATTTTAAATCGATTTAAATAGTTTTGTTATACTTTTTTGCGTTTCAAACGTAACTACGTGGATATCAAAAAAATTCTTCTTTTAAAAATTTATGTTTTTCATACAAGAATGTATATTCTTGAAAATTTCTAACAATATACTTTTTTGTCGGAAAAATTGGTCAAATTGATTAAAAATTATTTTTATTTAATACTGCTTAGTGCTAAAATTTCTAAAATTATTTAAGTAATTTTTGTCAAATTATCATTACATATTTTGTAAATTTAAAGAAACCGTCGGAGCTAGAATAATTAAAAAATTTTTATTTAGAATATTTTTAGGTAGATATCTTCAGAAATCTGTCTGTTGTAGCCGGTCTCATGTCGTAGTTTTAAGAAAATTTCGTCATAATATGTTTCATTTCATCGAGTAATGTCGAGAAATGGCATTGGCTCAAAAGTTTATATATGTATTTATGTGATATAACGCGCCATGTCAACAGGATTGCGCCCACAGTTCTCAACCGATCTTTATGAAATTATGTGGGCTCATTCTGTGGATTAATACTGAGATCAAGTTCGAAGATGAGCAATATCGACCGATTAGTTTACGAGTTTTGGGTGTTCGAAAATTTTTTTTATTTTTAAAAAATTTTGAATTTCGTATATTTTATGGAAATAATTTTTCAGATGTAAAAAATAGATGAAATCTATTAAATTTATCTCAAACTTCATTTAATTAAAGCTATTATTCGTCTAGTTTTGATGATTTTTTTAATTAATTCCGTGATTTTGAAAATATGAAAAAATTTTTCTATGAACGTATTTCGGCCGTTTTTCTTCAAATAATTTTTAAGTCGTAAAAGTTAGTTTAAATCTATTAAATTTATTTTAAAGTTCACGCGATTATCTTTAATTTAAGATATTATTCGTTGAATTCTGACAGTTCTGACACTTTTTTCAATTTATTTCGTAGTTGGGAAAATTAAAAAAAAAAATCAAGAATAAAGGAATTTTTAGCTTTTATCATCAAATGAATTTTATCTGTCACAAATCCTATTTTCTAGGTAGATGTCTTTGAATATCTATTTATTGTCGGTCTCATATCGTTCTTGGCAAAAATATAATAAAAAATAAATTTTAGGACATTATTGCCTTTTAATACCGTGTTTTTTTCAATATTCAAACAAGAAATTTATCTAGAAAAAATCATGCAACTTTTTCTCTTCTTTTTTTCTTTCATTGCCATTTGTTTGTATTCGAATGTAAATTAAAAATCTTATCTCAGTTGATTGTTAGTAGTATACTGAAAAATTTCTGAATGTATTTCAATAGTGTATTTACTAAGCCTAGCAAACCCGATATGAATATCTCTATTCACAATTTCATAAAAAGTTTTTAACCCTCGGAGTACATACCTTCGAAGAGAACTTTAGAGTACACATGGGGTCAAATTGACCCCACTCGACTTTCGAAGAATTATATCTCAGAAACTATGCATTTTGTCGGAATTCAGGTTATTGCATTTTTAGTAAGTAAAACAATGCTCTTTTGTATACAATCATTATTATTTTGAATTAAATAGTTTTTAATGTTGAAAAAATTAATTAAAAACGAACCTATTTTCGAGAAATATTAAAAGACAAAAAAAATGCTGGGGTTAAAATGACCACCAGTGTACTCCGAGGGTTAAAAATAGCTTTTTTTGCCTTAGAAAAATTTCTTATGTAAAAAAAAATTAAATCGAGTCATTATCCTTTTTTTCTGTGCAATATTATTTTATTTACAAACCTAACTAACTTAAAAAATTTCAGCTCTTCCTGGCCTGGTTCGACCAACTTTATCTCCAACAGCAATCATAACACCTCCAACAATAGCAACAGTAGCTCCAGTGATTCCTCCACCTGGAATAGCCATTCCACAAACTCTAACTCGACCTCCAGCAATTATTCAACCGATTCTTGGACAACCTGTCATAATACCTCCACCAGCAATAGTGACTCCTACAGTTGTCGGCGCACCAGTGGTAAATAATTTTTATTAAAAAATTAGATTCTTTCATTATTTAATCTAATAATTAATTTTCAGATACCAATAACAACTGCGCCAATCGTTGATGTTACTAGACGAGCACAAGAACAGGCTCATCTTAAGCAACAAGAAGAATTGCAAAAGAAATTGCTTGAAGAAACTGAACCACAGACTCTGCAACAGCAAGAAAATATGTCAATTAAAGGTCAAAGTGCTCGGCATTTAGTTATGCAGAAACTAATGCGTAAAATTGAATCGCGTGTTGTAATACTCAGAAATATGGTTGCACCTGAAGATGTTGATGAAACTCTTCAAGAAGAAATCCAAGACGAGTGTTCGAAATTTGGAGTTGTCGAACGAGTTATTATTTATAATGAACGCCAGTCTGAGGATGAAGAAGATGCTGAAGTTATTGTTAAGATTTTTGTTGAATTTTCACAGATGAGCGGTTAGTATTTTATTTTTTACTTTGCATCTCGTAAGGTAAAAGCCCCCATTATTGACTCTATAAGAGTGATCATGAACATTTGAATTTTTTTTTTTCGTGTTTCAAATCAATATTGTCAACTTTTTTTTATAGGACACCTTAATCCTTTAGAGTCAGAGAATCTTGAAACGTCTTCGCGTAAGAGGAGTGGGGAGAGCGCAAATCCATAGTAAGACCCAAGAGTGGGGTTTCAAGGTCAGACTCTAAAGGGTTAATCATTGTTTTTACTTATATAATTTAATTAATTAACTTTAATAGCGATAAATTTAATAATGATTATATCAACTTAAAACCAACAGGTCGGATGTATTATTGACAGCGCAAAAAATTCAAAGAGCCGATTATTGACATGCCATTGACCCTATTATGGACAGGTCTTTTATTACAGTTATGTAAATTTATATCAACAATAATCCTTTTTACCAACTAATGCAAAACTATCAATAATTTTTATTATTTTTAAATTCGTTTAAGACCTAACTTTTCTATATTTTTTACCAGGTTTTTTTTTAGCAATTTTTTCTAGTTTCCAATTCTTTGATTCCTATAAAATCACATTACAGTATGCAAAGATTAATACGTTGATATGTATGTTGAGGCGGTTAGCTTACCTTACATTACGGCCTATGTCGTTAGTTGGCGCAAGTTATTTTTGTGTCCCCATCATTGACATACGCTATTTTAAAATTAATTTTAACTCGATAAAGTATACATGAATGATTATATAGTTATTTAGACTATAAATAATCTAAAATAATTTTAAACAATGCAATTACATAAAAAAGAACTTTGAGAAATCTGGATTTGAAAATAAGGTCTTTCTTAACAATATTGTTAAGAAATTACAAATTTATAAGCAGTTTTGGCCTACTTGAAAAAATGAAATTTTTTTACTGTAAATAGTTTATACCTTGGAATTAAATTTTACTATTTTTTAATTTAAAAAATATGTAAAATTGTCATGAAATATCAACAATTGTGATGATTATCAACAGATTTTAATAATGAAATAATAAAATTAAATAGGGTGTCAATTGTGGGGGCCCTATCAATAATACGGGCTTTTTATCTTAATATTTATACAAGTTTATTTTTTTATTTTTCAGAGGCGGAACGTGCAAGAGATTCATTAAACGGTCGTTACTTTGGTGGTCGACTTGTAAAAGGTGAACTGTATGATCAAGCGTTATTTGATCATAGTGATTATTCTGGTTAGAATTAACCAGGAAAACTAAATTTGTCTACGTATCCTGACATATACGACAACTAGCTTATAATACCTAAATTTCATTTAATAAAAAAAAAATATAAATGAAAATGATTGTTTTTAAACTTGCTAGGTTATTTAAATTGACGAATTAATAGTTCTGTGAACCAAATTTCAATTGTATAATCTTCAAATTAATTTTGAGCAAGTTTACTTCGTAAAAACTAACTTATTTAATGGTTAACATACCTATAAAGGTTTTTCTTAAATATTAACAATCAAGAGCCAATTGATTCAAATTATAGTTATTTAAGTGGAATGTAATTTAGAAAAATATAGTTAAATATTAATTCTTAATTATAAAAGTATGTAAAAAAATTAATATTATATTTTATTTCTATAGTATTCTGGTTATTATATATATATATATATATATATATATATATATATAACCATTTACTTAACAAAGTAATGATTGAGTTGATGATAAAAAACGAAAAACGATTATTGTATGTACAAGTATCTTTTTGTTATAATAAACATTTACAATTTTTATATTAGACAGCATATTATTTGTTAAATGCCTAGTTTTAATTTTTTTAATTGACTAACTAATTATCAGATTTTGGTTTGTAATTTTGGCCAAAGTTTTTATACTCCTCATAAGTGGGAAAACTTAACTTTTCTTTCGGAAGGTTATCATCTACTTTGACTCCTTTTTCCGCACTGTATTTAATTTCTAATTCAGCAGCATTTTTTTTCTTCATCATTATTATTTCGAAATTCTGTTGAATTTCCTCGTCAGTTGGTCTTTCACTTCTTCGATACCTCAACCAAGCTTCCCATTCAGCCGGTATTTCTACTTCGAAATTTTCTGGGTCTTTCGGCTCAAATGATCGCCCTCGTCGATTCTGAGCATTCAAATCTTCATAATATTTTGTACCATTGCGATCTTCACCTATTAATCGTCGTCTATTTACTCTTGGAGTTATGGAGTTTAAAAAATTCCGGATAATAGGCATTATCACACCGCGTTCTTTTGCCATGATTTTCGTTTTTATTTTCTTATGCAAAGAAAAAATTTTTATACCACCAAGATATCTGTGGAGAATGTAAATTATTTTAAATGTGAAATTTTATGAAAATTAATTTAGCAGATAATTGGTAATTTTAAGAATTTTTGTAACAAATAAATTATTAAAAAAAAAAATTGACATGTAAAAATTTTACAAAATTGAAAAATTCAATTTTTTTAAAATAATATTTCGGAACAAATTTATTTGTTGAATAAAATTAATAAATGGTCACCGGTACAAAAAAAATTTTGCTTCCGGATGAACTTCAGATTGTGAAATAAATATGAATTTCATCATGAAAGTCAGCTGGAATTCCAGATGAACTTCATGATGAATTTGAAACAAATCGCACATAAAACTTAATTTTTTTAATCAGTGTAAAAATATTTGGAGACAGTTATATTAGAATTTTTAGTTTAACTTACGCTGACTCATTATTTACGATTCTTAAACTTCTATCTGGATAAATTTTTTGGAGTAGAAGAACACAAT